TGCAGGTGGTGGTCGATTCAAGAGCTTCTTGAAGTGGTCGGCCCATCGTTTCCTCTGTTTCTCTTCTTTTGTAATTAAATTTCCTTCTTCATCTTTTATTGGTTTCATCTGTGTTGGTCTCTTCCCTGATAGCAACCTGGTTATTTGATACAATGTCGTCAGGTCTCTCTTACCTGCAGCCTGTTCTGCTTCACTTGCCAGTGTTTCGTAGAAGTGTCTTTTGTCTTTGCGTGCACTCTTCTTCACTTCTTTGTCCAGTGTTTTATACATTGTGCTCAGTTCCTCTTGTCGTTGAGCATCCTTGCACTGGTTTATCTTCTGCTTCACCATCCTCCTCTCCTCTATCAGCTTCCAGGTATCCGTCGAGATCCATTCCTTGTCTTCCACCTTCTTCCTTCCTAATACTGTTGTGCAGGTTTCTTTCCACATAGCTTTCAAAGACTTCCAGTGTTCTTCCACACAGGTTTCTTCAGGGATGTTGCTCGATGTCTCCCATTTTGTCTTGATGGCTGCCTTGAAGATCTCCTTTGTAGTTTCATCCTTCAGTTTCCGAGTGTTGTACTTGAAGTTGAGGTCTATCACCAGCTTCCTTGAAGGCTTTTAACTTGATTTGGAAGGTTCCTTGCACTAGGTAGTGGTCTGAACCTACATCTGCTCCTCTTCTTGACCTTGTGTTAAGTAGACTGCGTCTCCATTTTCTTGAGATTGAGATAAAGTCGATTTGATTTTTAGTGTGTCCATCTGGTGAAATCCATGTCGCTTTGTGGATATCTTTGTGCCTGAACACACTGCCTCCAATCACCAAATCGTTGAATGCGCAGAATTCTGCAAACAATTCTCCATTCTCATTCATTTCACCTAGTGCCTCTCGACCCATGGTTAGTTCTCTTCCCGTGTTGTCCCCTCCCAGTTTGGCATTCATGTCGCCCATCAGAATTTTGATATCGCCAACTGACGTCTTGTCCAGTGTTGATTGAAGTTGTCTGTAGAAATCCTCCTTTTTCTCTTGCTCTGCATTATTTGTAGGTGCATAACATTGTATGATTGTGACCTTTCTTCCTTTTGAGTTGAATCTTGCTGTCATGATCCTGGAGGAGATTGGTTCCCACTGCATGAGAGCCTTCGATGCTCTTGAGGACATCATGATAGCCACTCCCTCAGTGTGCTCGTGGTTGGCGTCTGGGTGACCGGAGTAGATTATTGATTCTCCAGTTGACAGTTTGGAGAGTCCACTCCCATTCCATCTGCTTTCGCAAATCCCAAGCACTTCGATGTTATACCTTCTCATCTCCCTTGCAATCTGGGCTGCCTTACTGGGTTCAAACATCGTGCGGACATTCCATGTCCCCACGTTTACTTTCGCTTTCATCGAGAGAAGACACATCGGCCAATTGGCTTCCCGAAGGCTTTCACCAACTGGCGTCATTTCGCCTCTCCGATTCCAGCGGGGAATAAGTTTGTTTTCATTTTTTATATTTTGTTTGTGCTTTGAAGTTTCTTTAGCGGTTAGATTTGTTTTACGGGGTAGGGTTGCTAGCCCTATGCCCAACCTTCCCTCTTTACCCGGGCTTAGGACCGGCTAGTAACTAGTAAACTAGTTAACCAGGCGAAGTTACCCACGCCACATCGTGGACCAGCTCCGAATGAGTTTGGTAATTCACATATGCATGTCTAAACACAAAATTTAGATGGTTGGAAATAATGAATCTGTATCACATTTCAGAGCATGGTGACGGAAATCTACAACCAACGAATGGATTTTTTCATGTGTCAAATCATTCGTCACTTGTTTGATGGGGAGGGATGTGAACACTGAGATGGTGCTGAATAATTAGCAAGCAGGTAAACTAAAATTTACTGCGTTCAACTGAGTTTGTGAATAAAAAGTGAAAGAAACCAAATACTGGCATTCTGAAGCAGTCAACTGTCAGTGTTCAGCTACCATGGTGAAAATTTTGACTGTATAGGGCCACTGACTTTCCTGAATCCTATCTTTATTGAATTCGATTACGATTTCTGCTTATCTACTCTTTCAAGTTAGTATAAATACCTGCCATCATCATCACATAGCCAATAATTTTTTACCATATTTAAGAAATATTTTTTTCTGGGTTTCCAATGAACTAACATGGTTTGAAATGCACTGTGGTAGTGAATGTGCTAGCTTGGTGGTCGTATCGCAAAATAATCGATATTGTTTCAAGCACATAGGACTGTGTTAAGAAAAATTTGGTTAATATTTTGGTGGTTTATGTTCTCTGAGCCAGTTGGTTTAATCATGAGGCTTTGGTTGTCATTGTAGGTGATTTCATCAACACAAACTTCAAAAAGAAATGAGCCACGAGATTTTCTCCGCAAGGGACTTCATAGCTTGTTCTGATGACCTTAGGTGTGACTGTTTATTTCTGCCTAACTATTTTGATTGACTTCCCTGCTGGTGTGAAGGTTGCCCTTCTTTTTGTTTATGATTTTTATTGGTTGATGTCAGTATTTCTTGATCCATTTTGACCTGAGTGTTAGTGTTTTAAACCTTCTATGGCATTCATCATATTTCGTTCATCTAGGATTTGGACACTATCCCAATGGAATTCATGTCCATAGCTGTCTATATGGGCGAAAACATGTGGCGATAATTTTACTGCTAGTTGATATTCATGACTACGATGAGGGCAACCGCTTTACTTGATGTAATGTTTTTCGCAGTTTATTTTGTAGCTAATGTTTGGCTTCCTTTACCATCTTCTTTTGTCTTGCATAACATACTCTGAAGACATTTTGTAGGCTTATGATTTACAACAATGTCGATAGTATCAGCGACCTAGTTGCAATCTCGGAGACATTTTCCATGTAGTCTAAAAGAGTTCGTTAGCCGCTTTCCAAAAATTACCTATTGGTTGATAGCAAGCTTGATAAGCTTCTTTTGATAAAGTTGTCTGAACAGATGTTTTTCCGAAAGACAGTCACTGAATATTTTTCATTTTTCTTCCGTGAAATTTTTGCCCTTACAGTGTGTTCTAGCCCTTCCTAATAACGTGGTTACGCAACTGATTTTGTGTGTTCTTGGATAGTTATTATTAAAGTTGAGGATTTCATCCGTATGAGTTGGTGGTTCCGTAAACTTTACTTTCCAGTCATCCTAGATTGTGAATTTGATTTCATCAAAAACGTTGCTGATTAATTTGCTGACATTTTCCTTCTATGAATGATGCGTCATCTACATATTGAACCCAAATTTGTGGTAAGATCAACAGTTCTGAGTGGTGAACATCATTAGTGAGAAGAGCCGTTGTCTCCTTATGTCAGGGTCAAACCTTTAAACAGGGTTTGTCTCAGTCGGTTGAATTACATTTCGGTTCACGAGCAAGTTTTCTATTTTTTTGATGTAACTGTTTTTATTCGTGACTGTGGTGTGCCCTTTATCGACTGAAACTACCACTTCTGTCTAATTACGGGTACAGTTAATCGTCACATTTCCTGTTGCGTCTGTTTACTTAGTCCTCAAGTGCTCAGTAAGACGCAGAATTCTGGCCCCGCAGCATCTCTTGTTCTGAAATTTATTCTTTCTGAACAGGTGAAGCAGGTTTTAAGTCCGTGACCCATTGGTTGAAGGTCAACTGCGCAAACCAGTAACACACAGCTTCATTAGTGGGTAGCTTTGCTATAAACCTGGAAAAATCTAGTCTCTTTAAGCTGACATTTTCCTATGACTATATTTACTGCTGTCTTCATAAGATTGCTAAAATCTGGTAAGAAACCATGTAAGTAGTTCCGAGAAGCAGCAACACACTTTCAATATGATGGGGATTTGTAGCTGAAAAATGTTATACTGAGAAGGCTAGATCTAATGTTGTGAACGTGTATGATAAGTTTCGTCCATTTCAATGTAAGATATACTATAGCTGTGTTAGGTTAACATTCGCTTGCACGTAGTGACTTCCCAAATAGAGTTATAGAGATCATTTAGTTGGATGGCTTGAGATGCAACCAAACATTACTTAGAAATAAAAACTAGTACATTACATTTAAACATCGGAAAAAAAGTCGTTCACGAGCTTCGTTTGTTGAGAACTAATAAGTTTTCCGCAAAACATACTTTAAAATGACTTTATCCAGGCTTAATTTTGTCTTAAATGTTCTGTTATTGAACAGTAGCTGAAAAGAGAACACATCATCCCCACAGCTATCTCAGATAGTCAAAATGATAATTTATTCATTTAATTTACTTGATTATAGACTGAGTAAAATTCAGTGATGGTCGGTGAAATATATTATTTTTGTCTTTCATATTAGATAAGTCCATTCGTTAAATAACACAGTGATGCAGTAACACGACGTTCCAAGCAGAATTAGTAGCTCATAACCATATCACTTTGACATAGTCGTCAGCTGTTAAAACTGTATCACTGTGCACTATATGCAAGAGACTAATGTATTATGGAATTACATTCTGCCGTAGTTCCCGAATTCATTCTTATTTTATGGTTTCTTTAGATATTTGTTGCGAGAACATGAGCAAGGTAAATACTCAGTTATAAAATCTATCAATTTTGCCGAAATAAGGAGCTGGAAACTGATAATAATACGGTATTCTGTATTAGCCAATTTCACTGAGTAGCTAGATAATGAAGCAATCGAAAATTTTTGTAAATAATGTAAAGCGTTAAGTAAAGCAGATAAGTAAATAATATGCAATGAGGTAGGGGAGTATGAAAAAAGAGATCATGTTTACGCTCAACACTTGTTAGAATTATAGTTAATTTTTTCTTCAAAACAGTACTTTTCTGTTTTGCTCTGTACTTTTTAGAGAAAATGGATATATAGGTATGGGTTTATATACATTTAATGGCTAGATGACGAATAACTTATCATAAAATGGAAATGGGAATTCACTGACAATTTTAGCAACTTATAAAAAAGGTCAACTTGGGCACTTCATTGTGAAAAAAGAAATGGAGTGTTGCTTTACCTTATCTATCCATGACTTAGAAATCCAAATCCTTCCGAAAAAAATGTTTTATTCAACACTATATTCAACCATAGTCATTGTACGGATTGCAATAAAAACATGCATTTCAAAGCCAACAATGTATCATAATACTGTCAGGCTGAAAAAAGTGAATGACTGAATTGTTTACCTGATATAAAAAGGTCTTAACAAATCATATGAAGAAAAAAATTATTATTTCAATTTAAATAGGATAACAGAGATGCAGGTAAACAGCCATGTGCTCATCTTTCCATGTACAGCATATGAATAATAGGATATTCAAAGGTGAGAAAAAGGAATTGAAATCACTCACTCAAAGCTGTGAAAAAATAGTCTCAGAAAGAAGGAATTTGATAAATAAAATGGATTTTACAGCATTACAAAGAATAATGTTTACCTATTTTTAAATGTTATGTTTATTATTTAAAAAAATGGAGCGGAGGAAAAATTTAGTTTTATGAGAATAGTAAGCAGAATAAGCTTTATAAATTCAGATACGTTTGTAAACTCCAAGTAAGGTTCCGCATTCCGGGCAACTATGGTAGACATCCTTACATGAATCAACATAGAACGGTATTAAACAGCAACCAAGTATACCCCTAAAATGGAAGAAAGAAAAACGGAAATAGATTCGTTTATCTAAGTAGAGATTTGTGTTTTCATACTATTCCTCCCTTCAATAAGTACACTGAGAACAACATTCTTAGCAGAATAACAAGAATTTATTTTGTCTCGGGGACCTTCATTAGCTACTTACAACCTAAAACCATTTTATTATCGAATCATACCAAATGTTTACATATCCAAATCGTTTCTAAAGAGAGTAATCGCTTCAACAAAAAGATAACATTGATATTTTGTAACAGAAGATATACAAATTGAACTGATAAACATGCAAGGACTAAATATACAGTTGTCTACATATAGAAAGATTCAAGTATTCTGGCGCGGAAATCAGACAAAATGGGGAGATAAAGTTCCAGTCTCTTCTCGTCCTCATGATTCAGAAGGTTGAAATTCACTTGAAAAGACCTGTTACTTGTGATTCAGTCACGTTTATGACTGCTCACATTTTGTCCTAAAACCTGGTTTGTCAAGCAGTTTCAGCCAAAATGGAAGTAATATTGACGTAGTGGTCTTTAAATATGGATTTATATCAATATACATTGAGGTGAGGAAACATATTGACCAGATTAGTACACAAATCTTCTGTTCACCGTAATTTGCTACCTGATACTTAAATATTGAGTGCACACAAAAATTACTAGGTGAATACAATAATACGTAATCCGTGATCAAGAACGCTTAAGTTCTAGTTGTAATTTTGTGTATTCACTAATTCAGTCATGTCAGTTAGTTAATTAATTATTTATTCTTCAAGAACGGCTGTCGTCCGCTTGATCACCTAAACAAACACGTTCAAAAGCTATGTTCTTGTCTGAAACAGTCAGTCATTTTTACAAACTTCCATAGTGTGATTAGGTGAAGTTTGTTTGAACAATGTAGTATATTTGGGGAATATGCTTGAAACGCTGTGGTCCCACATTTACTTGTCAAGTCAATTCACACAAAACTGCGGAATTAAACGCCAAATAGAAAAATTACAATGATATTTAAATTAAACTAAGATGCAGTCAGGAGAATCATATATTTGATCTTAACCTTCGTAATGAAACGAAGTTGGCCAAGGTAGGTGTTATGTAATAATAATAAGTTGTTTTTGTACACATGTGGTTGTCGCCTCGACAAATCTGTGTGCAACCTTAACTGTTTCTATTTGAAACTTTGAAAGCTGTTTGGATAATAATTCTCTGACCCATTTCTATAATATATTTACCACTTATCCAAGTTTCACACTTCATCTGTTTTTGAAGCCATTTACGCACATTTTCTCCCACTCCCAACTAGTCAAAAACTGCACTCCTATTTGAAATGACCGAAGCATACCTCTTTGAGCATTGGATTTAGGGATATACCTGATCATAAATTGGTAGTAACCATTAGTATTTACAGTTTTTACACCTAACCCTCTTTTAAATGTTGTAAGGATGTGTGATGGCAGTATTACTTCATCTTGATTTTTACTAGTACAACAAACTGATTGATCGGAACTAACAAATAACCCCAACAGTGTTAATTTCTAGTATAATTGCTTGTATTATACCGTCGTTGATCGGAACCAAATGATCGGTCTCTATTAGTATATGGACTCCTATACGGATGCCTCAATATTACTTGTGTTCTAATTATAGTGGAGATGGATAGTTGCTAACAGTGGAAGCCAGGATGCCCGTTTCGTCCTATTCGGGACTCGTCAGCTGATGGGAAAAACATCACTCACTGAGAGGCAGGTACATCCAGCTGACAAGTTCCAAATGGGACGAAATGCGCATCCTGGATTTCACTGCTAGTTACTATCCATCTTTGGTGTTAACTTCCGATGAATGTATTCAGATATTCACAGTTACGGTTTCTATATGAAAGAAGTTACGAAATGACACTGATTATTTCTTACAGCCTTCTCATAATTTTTGAGAAATACGATTTTCTTCAAAAAATCCTATTATTAAATAAGAAGAATAACTTTGATGCTGTATGGCTTTGCTGTATCAGATTCTGACTATAATGCAGTCCGCTCAGATGAATAATTAGAATGAACAATCCATTTACTCATAGTAAAATCATTTCACATCAACTTGTTATCCAGTTTATCGAAACGGCAGGAGACTGTGAGTATGGTTCATTTATAACTTGTTGTAGTTGGTTGTTTTAATGGTGAGTAAACTCTTTTGGCATTGATCTGTTGGCTCTCTGTCTCAATACTGAGCGACTAGGGTAGAGTATCCAGCTTTGATATCGTAGTAGCATATTTTCAGTTCATAAAAATTGTAGAAAATTACCGAGGATTATTTTTGCTCTATATTGTATAACCGATACTAAGTCTCTAGAAAGTATTAATGAGTACTATCCAAGTGTTCACTTACTTTGACTATGCCGTATAAAAACAACATAAACACTTCTTGCTATGCACTTACAAAGGTAGAAAATAATATTATCCTAACTTCTCAAAGTTGCAAACAGCCCGCCGTTTATGACTGTTTTCAAAACTAAGATAGGTCAAGTTTACAGCCTATGAAACCATTTTACTTGTTTACATGAAATATGTGTTAAATTCTAACACGTGAACCTTGTGTATCAAAATCGTGTCCTTGCTATTTCTAGCTGGAACATCTATTTTTCGGAAGTTCATGAAGTTTGACTCTCTTGTTAGTATCATAGCTCTTCAGCTATTATACTACTTTACAGGCTTTTTGAGCATAGTTCGTCGACGTGAATTTAAAAACAGTAACTTGCAGAAACCATTTCAGGCAGTGGCTGACCATCACACGTGATACTCATCGTTTGAGCAGGAACCTAAAGTCAAGCCATCAGCTATGTTTAGCAGATAAATGATATTCAAGGGCGACAAAACATCAAGAAAAGTTACTTCTCAGTCTTTAGATGTCAATAAATTTAGAAAACATTGAGGATTCTATATACCGTTGAATTCTTATAACGTCTGAGTGAGAAATCTCTTCTTCATAGTTTCCGCTGGCTAGTTGGTAATTAATGTACTGCATGAAAACAAATTTTCTTTTCGCTGAGATGTAATTCCTCCTTTATATTCGATAATTCTGGCGTTAAAGTTTCAGAAATGCCGCTCATAAGACTTTAGTGCATCGACTTGATAAAACGAAGAAATAAAAGTTCATTAATTATTTAAAGCTTAACTAGCTAATTATTACGGATTACCTTTATGGCTAGTCTGATGTCTTGAAAAGCCTATAAAGCTTGATTATTATTTTATTCTGTCAATTCGACTCATATTTATCCACACAGGTCGCACATATTTATACACAGTGACTGAAGCTATAAACAACACCTGCCAGCTAACTGCAAAACGCATAATACCTTGAAGTGAAAACCTTCATTTTGTATACCTAATTGGTGTAATGAGCTTTCAAAAACTGTGTCAAAATTTTTTTGCATTCTTACACTACGTGCCTTATTGATATCTTAACCTAGAGATACACAATATCCTTTGTAGTATGCAGAATATACTTTTTTTCTTGATACATTTTTGGTTCTACTCTTACCCTGATTGTTTACTGACTGATATGAAACACACACATTTCATGAAATGTGTGCCCATTCAAAATGATAGATTCGCTTAATATATCCAAGGAATACTGAAAGTAAACGTTTACATTTTATCCTTAGGAAATGAAGATTAAAGTAATAGTTAACATACAACTTACCCAACTAGTATTATTCCAGTGCATGCTAGCCAAGTGCATGCACCTTTTCCGTAGTGAACAGTTGTCGTAATCTTGTTCATACAAATATTACATGGGAGTGATGCAGGATGAGGACCAAAGTACACTGGAGTTACCACAGCCACAGGTTGTTGGACAACTGGGCTCGCTTTATCAAAGTGGAATTAAAAGAGGTGGATATTATTCTTGTACCCTCTCTGTTCAAGTTTATTCATGGAAACTACTGCATGAAACATTATTCTGCATGACTTCAAAAATGGAAGAAAATTAAATACACATAAATTTGCACTAGGAGCACAAGCTATTACGAATGATGAATAATCTTACAAAAAAATTCATTCATTCTCTCATGAAAAATTTCACTTGCAAATTATTTCGCTATATATCGTTTTATCACAAGAAAGTAAACGGTACATTTATGGCATTCAAAAAAGAAAAGGAAAAATCTGCAGAAAATGTGTTGAAAATTGTGACAATAAGATGCTAAGTATACTTACTTTTAAAATGAAAGTCAGAATAGCACTTACTTAACATTTAGATAGCATGAGCTACTTACGTCTCCTGAATGGTGGCTGTTCAGTTATAAGCTTCAGCTTCGACTATAGGTATCAAAAGTTAAACCGTGAACTTCCATAGGTCCTTTTGAACTTAACTTCGATTGCTTGGTATAACACTTGCAAAGATTAATCAACTGAAGACAGCTTAATTAACCGTTCTAACACGAGAGTAATATATTTATGTACAGTTTACCCCAACCCGAAGTTATTTATTTGTTTGAATTACAAACTTAGAATCGAATTATAAATAAGACTCTCCATGAAAGTGAATATAAAACTTCAAATGGGTAGTATACAACGAGAGTAGCGAAAAACATAAGTTGTGTAAGATACTTTCAAAAAGACTGTATTATATTTTTTCATAGAAGTATCCACTAACATTTGCGTCCTCATTGGCCTCCAGATTGAACTAAAACATTCTTGATGACTGAATTGGACGGTGTTTAGAACACAACATAAGAAGTAAATGTAGAATCGTAGATATTGACAGACATACTACTTATATCTTCACTTTCTGCTGTGAACCGATCACCACCGATTTAGACACTGGTAAGCGAAACTCGCCATAGAATTCAAGGTCATAGTTGCGCCAAACTTATATAAGCTATAAAATCCAATGATTCGGCATCAAGATCTATCGTGTATATATATATATATATATATATATATGCAGCGTAAATTCAAAAAATTTATCGTCACTACTAAGCATTACACAAAGCGTGGTTTTTATAATACAGAACAGTTGATGAGGAACGAAAGGTGCGATAAAACAAACAGTTGTCAAAAATCAATAAGACTGGAAAGCTTTATCAGCTTACGAGTTAAACAGAACTACATGTACAGTTCGCATATTGAAGCCGAAATAATGTAAACAATAAGATGAAATGGTTAAAAGAATGTCTGATGAAATATGTAAGTTGACTTTTGTTTGAAATTTAAAAAAATTAACGAACATTTTTCACAAAATCAAATATATCTCACGTGGGAAATATACCCTCTGATGTTATCTAAGCACAAAATTAGGACTGAATAAAATAGATTTCGTTGGTGTGTTTTATCAGGATCATATTTATTGTTGAAGCTTGATCTCGATAACCTTTCAGGTCATGTAATGATTTCAAATCAAAACAAATGTCTATCAAATTACATTTTTGGTAAAGGTTGAGTCATAGAAATGCTAGCCAAATTAATGATTTCTGAAAAGAGAGTTTGGTCTACTGTAATAGGAATATGACATCCAGAGCCAACAGCTCACATCAAAATTTAAAACAAGCTTTTGCCAACGAAAAGCACTTTTTAAATGTGGTGACGACCAATCAAATTTCCGCTGACAATGTTTATGATAATTAAAATGCCCTTCAAACGCAGCCACTGTTTGGTGACTTTGGTTGGAATATATATATATATATATATATATATATATATATATATATATATATATATATATATTCCAACCAAATTGTGCTACGATATTTCTCGTGAAGTTTTCATTACCAATAAAAGTCAAAAAACCTTTAAAATTCGCTGAAATTTTGAAAATGAAAGTTAGTATTAATATCATAAACTTCACATCACTTTCTAAGAGTCTCATGCAAAGGATTTTTGCAATGGATAATCAAGAAGTTAAAAGAAATAGTTTTACATACAACTAACAGTTGAAGTACACATACCTAATGTGAGTTCAACAATTCAAGGTTTTCTACACCGGTTCGATCCCATAGGTTATTATTACAATTATGCTATTTAAACAAAATAAAGTCCACTTCGTAGTCTTCGAAGAATGGTTTACAATATACCTTGCGAAATTCAAAGCTAGACAACGATAATATTAACTTTCACATGAAAATATTACCTCAACCATCGTATCAAACTTTATGTCAACAGCCATTGATCAATATCGTATCGTTGTGTGATGCAAGAACTAAATACTGGATGTCACCATAGTTCAATAGGTGCATGTACACCTACAAAACAATTTGATATGAAACGTTTGGAGCTATAATCCGAACTGTATAAAAAAGGTGATTTCAAAGTGAAATCGAAATTTGTATCCACAGACGTTAAAGCCAAAGACATTACCAAATTATTATGCGTAATATAAAAAGTAAGGGAGTGAAAAAAATAGTAGAACGTCGAGTGAAGTTAACATTTATAACCCACTTGATTTGTTTTAAATACTTTAAGACTTTTATCATATCAGGCATATAGAGGTGCAATACATTCAAGACAGTTGTAGAAGCGTATCTGGGGCTATGAACAGCCTAATCTTATTCTAAAAATTAGCAGTAAATTTATATCTTCCACATTTCTAAGGAGTGGTATCTTCATGTAATGAAAATGTGCTGAAACACAAACTTTGATTATTACTTATAGCTAAACAGTGAGTCAGGTTTTAAATTATTTGTTGCTTGCAATAAAATAAAATTTTAGAATACAGACAAATGGTTTCTTGAAAAAACCGAAGGTTAGGAAGATTCTTCGATTTTTGTGGCCTTAGTAATTTTCAAAGTAAATCGTTTACTGGTAAGTACCCAAATCTTCCTTTTACCTTATCTCTTTAAAACAGATATTTATTTTACATATATTAGATGACGAAATCCACTTTATTTTGCTTTTAGAAGTATGAATTTGAAGACAATTTTTCTCATGCACTTGCTAAGTGTTCAACATTATGTATATAATGGTCAATAGGCAGCCTAGCATATTTATTGATAATGCTTCACAATGTAAACTAGAAACTACGATTACAATTATTAAACAGTAGTAGTACATATATAAGTTAAATAATTTGTGCTATGTGTCCATATATGCTAAATGTGTGCAATGTTTATGTGCACTGTTCATTAAAACAACTAAAAGACATACGTTGAAAATGTAATCTTGCCTCAACAAAGCTACTGGCTTTATTACCACACCTTTAGAATTATTCACCTTCAGAACTATTTTACTCAACACCTAAGGAAGTAGTACGTCTGTAAACGAAAAAGTATTCAGTGTTTACTATTATGACAACAGTGAGTCAAATTTAATTAATTCAGTTTCTCAAAGTTTCTAATCTCGTTGACATGGAGTTGTTTCTCAAGTGTTCTCAGCTAAAACAATATCAGAAATAATGCAGAATTAAAATGATACCAAAGGAATAATTAGGGGTACTGAAACAGTTTGTTTTGGCAGATAAATTTCACTATTTCATGGGACACATTATATGAAAAAAATTCCTGAATATACTTGTATGTTAGTTCTCTGATTACGTCTTCAACCTGGCTATATCAATATTATGATTCGGTGTAGATCAATACTGGTACTGTTATAATTCGGTGGAAAACGCTGGCATATTCAATTTATCGAAATATTTTACTCAGAAGTTGCTTTTCTCAGGTGCACACAGTGAAAGTCAGGAGTAGTGTAACATTTTACATTCTTCAAGAATTTATACATCATTGAAGGTGAAGCTATTTTACGTTGGTAGTGGATAAAGACATCATATGTTCCTAAGTTTCACCATACAATAAGCAGTTGTGTTCCTACAACATTTTAAAAAATAAGATGCGAACAGATGAGTACGTACCGTTTGATAGATATAACTATATTCAACAAACGTTACTACTCAATCTCTTTGATTGATTTGCGAACGAATGTACACAAACGCAATACTATTAGTTATTACATACACTAAAAGTAAATCAAATGATGGTTTAAGATAGGGACATACCGACACATCAATAAAATCAGTGACAAAACAGAATATTGATCAAGTTATTTATGTTCAGCGAAACTTACGATTTCAAGCTATCTCTTACTTCAGTTTCGCTACAACTACTAAGATACTGCATATACCTCGATTTAGATTTCATCCCTCAAATAAGAAGGTATCACATCTGATATGTGAATATAAAGCTCAGCCATTATTTCTACCGATGAATAAGACAAACCTTCGAAGAACGAATGCTCATGCAGTCGAATTTTCCAACAAACACTGAGATTATACCATCAAACGTGCCGTCAAGAATTACAACCTAATATCAGGGAGGAGGTAACGCTAGATAATATGGGTCTTAATCCCAAGCTACAACTTTCTTAGTCATTTCCAAAAAGGGACCGTCTCAATAAAACCTCACAACTATCCCCCAAAACGTATTCAACAATCTATTACTTATCTCTTCCAAGTAGAAGTTCAAGAGAAAGCGATGAAATAAAATGGATCCATTATCGTTGTGCAAACGAAAATTGGACTACAGACAAAACTCTCACCCATAGAAAGAAACAGAATGTCCAAGTTTCATCATGAAATAATCGGATGGCTTACCCATTATCAATTTAAGGAGATAGATATTGTAGAAGTGTTTCGTGTTTTTGCACTTCAAAACACCATAGAAGGATGCCAAACGAGAGTAGAATGAGTTGAGATGAGGTACCAAAGACAGTTTCATCGAATGTTCAAAGCTTTCGAAACAAAGAGTGACCAAATATCTAACATTATATACCACTTTTGCATGTATATGCCATGGAGAGTATAATGTCACCGACTGGAGATGTCAGAATAAACCAACTCGAGAGTTGAGATGCATCACATAGCTCAGAACCACCGTCA